GAAAGCTAACAACACGATCTCCAGTACCGGTGCGCTCGCTCTCTCGCACACAACAGGGCTCGGTTCCACACACACCACACACACCACAACTACAGCCACACATCATCCACACACACACACACACACACCACACACACACCACACACATACACACACACACACACACACACACACACACAACACACACCCACACACATCACACACACACACCACAACACAATCACAACACACACACACATCACACACACACACCACACACCACAACACAACACACACCACACACTTTAATGAAACAGAGACCCAGACGTAATAGTACTGTACTGCTCATATTATTTTGAATCAATAATTTTTCAAATTATGATTTATTTTTTTTTATTTTTTTTTTAATAACCATTTTTCCTCCTGATCTCTCGCGCCCCCCTCCTGGCATGCCTTCGGCCCCCCAGGGGGGGCGCGCCCCCCACTTTGAGAACCACTGATCTAGGGGGACACCGAAAGCCTCCCAGACGTTGGGTTTTGCTCTTGAGGAAGAGTTATAGACAATCTGCATTATTTTCCATCTCTTTATTCTTTCTTTCTTTTGACATTGAACTCACATGCTTCATAGTTTAATCACTAAATTGTATTTTGTTACAATAGGTCTTATTTTTCTTTTATTGTCACGAAAGTGTGTATAAACAGGTGGATGGTGTAGGACCTAGAGAGAAAGAAAGAGAGCTCAATCCCTCTCTTAGATCACTCAGCTGTGTAGAGACACATGGCGCTGATCATAATAAATCACACAAAGGCAGCAATCAATAGGAAAGCACACACCATGGCTCACATGAACACACAGTATTCTACTGTAGAAAAGACCCCACTCAGAAAAGACGCTAGCTGTCACATGACAATCTTATTTCATTTAAGTGAGTGGTAATTCGTCTTCCCTCTCTCCATGACAACAGATCTGCCCCTCTCTCGATCCAGTCACACTGCCGTCCACACACAACACACACACGAACACACACACACACACTACAGCACCCCCCACACACACACGACACACACACACACAACACACACAACAGCACAACTACACACACACACACACACAACACAACACACACACACACACACACACACACACACACAACACACACACAACACACAACACACCACACACACACCACACAAACACACACACACACACACACACACACACACACACACACACACACACACACACACACCCACACACACACCACACACACAACACACACACACACACACACCACACACACACACACACACACAGATGTGGTGCTAGGCAGCACAAAGCCATGCTGAGTTGGCCCATTGAAATGTTAGTCAGGCCCCTTGGGGAGGCCATGCAGATCACTGACCACTGAATAAATGAACACACTCTCTCTCTCTCACACACACACACGGTCTCCCCTTGCCTCTAACGCATGCTGCCTCTCGTGGGACTCAGCTGAGGGGGGCAGAAGGTTGACCTCAAGGCTCTTCTCTCTTCATTTCTTTCATCTGGGCTCTTTTCAACTTAATCAGTGTCAACAGGACTGCAAATATTTATTTAAAAATGGGCCAATGTTGTGGCAAGGTCAATGACTTCACAATAAAGAAATGACGCATTAGGGGAGCTAAAATGACTTAATTTAGACATATAGAGTAATAATAATACAATAATACAATGATATACTCAATACACAATCAGCCATGTAGTTTCTACCAAGGTAGCCCTCCCTTTAATATATTTGACTGCAATGGTGGAATAAGGCACGTCGGTAATCAGTAGCATAACTACACAGACAATGGAAGAGTAAACAGCTAGCTTTCCTTCCTGGGTGTGTTGTGCGAGGTGCATCCACATCCCTGCAGCACATACTCTCCACAGCTGAAGCCTATCAAACAAAACGTTTATCAGGAAACCGTATTACATCTCTCTCCCCCTTCGTTCCTCTCTCTCTCTCTCTCTCTCTCTCTCTCCCCTTAAGACGTAGTGTGGAGTTGCATTAGGTAACGCGAGATACGGCTGATACTTGCGCATTAGTTTCTGTTATCAGTATCAACAGTCCTGCCAGTAACGTTACTATATTACATTAACTGTAGCTAACGCCGGTGTTCCGGATTAACTGGTTTCCCGATCAGCGTGGCCTTCGACTGAAATACACATTTCGATCGCTTCTTCTGTCGTTTACATAAATCTTTTGGTATATTTGGCTCGGTAGGAAGACTTTGATGCACATTCAGTACCAGTGTGTGAGGTTGTGGTTACGATGGCGATATCCGGACACGAACAGCGAGGACTACAAAAAGAAAAATGAGTTGACTGGGGATGTTTGTTCAAAACATTGCGAACTCCAATAAATCATTTTAAACCAGCTATTGTTGCCAGACTAATTACTGAATATCATTCTTAATGTGATACCAACTCCATCTGAGACCTGTGTACACCTTCAGACAGCCTCCAAGTGAAGCGTACGTTGTTTACTCACAGTTTGAAAGCAGCGTGGAGAAGTCTTCAGCTGTGGTAAACTGTGATCCTCAGGTAAACTGCGATCCGCCCAGGGAAAAATGGGATCCGCCCAGGGAAAAATGGGATCCGCCCAGGTTAAACCGTGATCCGCCCAGGTTAAACTGTGCCCCACCTCTGTAAACCAGTTGATCGGGAAACCAGTTAATCCGGAACACCGGTCACTCACCAAGACAGCTGTCTGACAGCTCCATTTCTCACCGATGGCCGTTATTTCTTCTAATCCTTGGCTGCTCCTGGTCTCTTGGACGCCTAGCAGGCTCATAATTATAATCATATGCATTTGAATATATATTTTCAACCTCTTCTGTGTCAAAACTAGCATTGTGATCCATGTTTATTCATACGTTAGACCGGCCTCTCTCCCCCATGTTACGTCACACGCGGGAGGTCACGTGGGGAGGCTTTTTTTATGCGGAAGTAAAAATGTCTTACAAAAACGACGCCAGATGTCACTGTAGTGTATATTTCTGTATATTTTTTGGAAAATCTAGTGTATACATCATTTTCCTACACATTTATTCACTGGTGTGTCTAACCTGCAAGTTGCTCTTTCAATTATCCCAGTAGACCCACCGACCACTAACAATTGTAATTCCTAAGAGAAAAGGTTGGAAAACTACGGTATTGCCTATTTGTATTTCCAAAAGTGGTTGTGTGTGTTTGGTGTAACGGAAAGTGTAAACGTTATTAGAGCTTTTCACTTACAAGGCTGCTGCATTGTATTGTAACTCAGTCACAAGAATTGGAAACAGACCAAACTCGTGCACCATCACCGGGGTAAACACGCCCTGACTCATCAGACGGGCTCAGCCTGCAGGACACGCCCTCCTCAGGGGACCTGGCCGTCTCCACCCTCTACACAGCAATCTTCCACAAGTGTGTGTGTAAGTGAGAGCACAGGAGTAGTTGAGGGGTTGGTCCATGGGGGGAGGTAACGGCACCACACCCCCACCCACACACCTCCCATACCATATCATTACTGTCCCGAAGCGTCCACGAGGAGAGTCAAAGAGAAACTGTCCCCTCCTCCCCGTCTCTTTTTTTTCTTCCATGTACTATTCCGTCTCCACTGCCACCACCAACCCCCCCCACCGGCCCCCAGATAACACCATGCAATTAGTGGCTCTCTACTCTCTTCTCTCTCACTCCCTTTCTTTACTTATACATGTATATCTAGGTCTCTGAAGAACACGCCTCTCAGTAGGTTTCTCTCCGTCTCATGTTGCAGCGGCGTATTAGAGATCAGAGTAACAACAGACGCACCCAAAACGAGCTATCGAACCCTGATCTACCCCTCCCTCAATATCCATCCATCTCTCATCTGTCACTCCGTTTATCTCACCCTGCCTTGCTTCTTTAACTAAATTGCTGTGCAATTCCCCTGGCGACAGCAACACTGTAATTGTGTTAACATGCCAATGTGACCACTTCCTGTCTGGCAAAGACAAACGTCCTGTTCCCAAGGGCATCTTCTGTTGGCTGACAAATGATTCAAACATCTACAGGAAAACCTCCGCAGGGTGTGAACAAACTGTTTTAGGCTGTTTGTTGTTTTAAACCAGTAACATGCCTTTGTTGCAACTTTGGGACAGCTGATGTATGTATGTATTAGTTGACATGCTAACACGTTAGCAATTCCTTATTTTCAAATCAAGTGACTGGGTAACTAGGCGAAGTGTTTCTCACCACCTAATCACTGTAAGTTCAATTTGCTCTGTCTTTTAGCTCGGATTTGAGGCTATTTAGCAGCTAAATGTTGTTCCCCAGATTCTTTTGAAATATGTCTGTCTGCTGTTTGGTGCTTAGCAGGTAGTGCACAGCATGTTTGTAGAACCTTTTCAGCTAAACTAAAAGCATAAAACCCACTTTGAATCTCTAAAAATGAGCAGAATCAGGTGTTTATCATCAGTGGGGTTTTTTGTATTACGAGTAACACATTTGACATTATCGCATGCTTTCACTTGGAGAGATTACCGGTATACCACGAATGATTATAGCCACTGTATATTTAGTTCATACTACTTCTCTTTTACTTAAGTAGAAGTTAAGATGCAGGACCTTTTCTTGTAATAACATGGTGTGTGGATGATTAATGAAGGGAATGATGAGTATCTCTTCCAGCAACGCACTTATTTTCCAAAGCCTCTCACACACAAACCTCAATGTGAATGCTCAAGTGCGAAATAACAACACACAGAGGAACACAAACTAATATACTCTAATTAGTCAGTGGTATTGACCACCTTCAGTGAAGACTGAAGTCAAACATGTGCACGCTCACTCGTCTGTATTTTCATTTAGCTGCTCCCCCCTGCAGGAGAATTGCCCACACAGCAATAATAATGTGAATCCACTGAACATCCATCATCAGGACCTAATGCTCAGTGTGTTCCTCCCTCTGAATGATTACAGACACACACATTAGCACCTGCTAACATGGAATCACACTCTGCCTGCTCCTCACCTGTGGACGTAGTGTAGCTGGTGAACAGAGTCGATGGCTAGCACCATCTCAGCCAGGTAGAACTTAGCCATCTCCTCCGGCAGCCGGTCCTCAAACTTACTGAGCAGAGTCAGCAGGTCACCACCCACATAGTAGTCCATGACCAGGTACTAGAGAGACAAAGATACAAACAGAAAGAGAAATTAGACAAAAGGCCAACTATGAAAATGCAGTACGGTTCTTCCTCACTTAATTGTCACTTTCCAGCTTTCTTAAAGCCCAAAAACACCAAGCCGATTAGTGACCGTTGGCCAAGTTGGAGCTGTCGGTTGCTGAGCGTTTTTCGGCTTGGTTTTTGGGATTCGTCTCACACTGTTTTGCCTTGACCTCAAAGCCGATTCTACATGTTTAATTGTTCAGAATAAGGGAATCAGTGCACAGGGAAGAGAACGAACGGACGATAGATAGAAAAGTAAGTAGTTATGGTCAGCAAACGCTGCTTATATCTACAGACCTAAGTTGCTCCTGTCTAGACTAATGCCTCCTGCCATAATGGAGAGTTATTTCCTCTTACGCACGTGCAGAGCTCATGTGATAGATGGCTGAAGTCCTTTCAGTATGTTCAAATGCCGCTTTTGGTTTTGAGCGCCAGTGCCTTTTTTTAGGCAAGGTGGCAAATATAACCAAACAGGAATTTGTTCATCTCTAGTTGTGCCGAACTTAAGTGGATAATAACAAATTGGGTACTGAATTAATCTGCATATGATCTAGTTCATAATAAAAGCAGACTTTTCTATGGACTTTAGCTTTTATACCTTGACAAAGATAAGAATGTGGCCTACAACAGACTAGCTAATGCTTGTTTTTAGCCTGGCAAGTTGCCAGAAATTCCTTTTGCTGCTAAAGCGGTTGTTTATTACTTGTGGCGCGTACTGGCACTTTAAGAGAAGCAAAAAGACAACAGAGAAAGACAGAACAAAACTTTCAACCCAATTATGTTTTTCAAAAATTGTGAAACACCACAACCACGTTATGTAGAAAACAACACTAGAGTTTCATAGACTAAAGTCAAACATATACCACCCTTCTTTGCCTCGCCTTTCTCAGTCCCTTTTTCTCAATGTATCATTACTAGAAAGGGGCAGCCAGCTCTTAAATGCTTCTAAAGTTTGGAAGCTTTTTCCTAAAAATAGACGGCTGTACGGGCCATGCTGAGTATCTTTAAGGCCTTGGGAGTGTCCAGGGTGAAGCATTTGTTGTGAGAATGTGGGAAATGGAATGACGAGCAGTCCTGGCATTTGAACTCAGGGTCACAGGGAGAGACGACTGCCTCCAGCAGCCAATCGGCGCGGAGAAGAACTGGTCTGCCAGCTCTTTCTTTTTGCTTTTTTGCGTAACTGTTTTTTGGCCTGTTCACATCTGTTGCTCAACTTCCTTCGATTCTAAGTCATATTGTGCTCTGTGGTGAGGATTGAATGTGCTGGTCAGCGTTTGGCAGGTCACCAGCCATCATGCAGAGGCGGTGCTGTTTTCTATAAATGAACTGGCAGGTGGAGCCGCTCAGTAGAAATATGGTTGTGATTTTGGAAAGTACCAAGTGCTGAAATATTTGAAGCAAGATACTGAAAACGGAGTCATCGGATAATACATGTTAAAAGTTCACTGGGAGAAGTTAAGGTTAAAACCATGGCAGGGGGACTTCTGGAAATACAATTATGGTGGTTGGTGGAAAAATAAATGTTTTCCTGCTCATGAATACACTGAGAAGAAGAAATGGAGTACTGTGTTACCAGATTATTGTCGTCCTGGAAGGCGTAGTGCAGGGTGGTGATCCACTGGCAGTTCCCATTCACCAACACGTCCCGCTCCTCCCGGAAACACGCCGTCTAAACAGAAATGTAATGAACACATTAAGATTAGAAGGTTGCACAACAGTGATGCATTTTAACCCTATAGCAGAGAATAATTAGTGTAGTTCTCTGGGCAAGCATTTTGTTTATTTCATCAATTCAATGTTACTTCAGAGTACCAATTCAACTAAAGTAGAAGGGAAGAGAAACGTGGATGATTTCCTATCAATGTCATGTAACCCTACATGGTAACAGTGTGACACCTTTGGCCCCATCCATTAGGAGGTCAAACGTCTACAGGCTTGGAATGGAGATGGATTGCTTGCTCATCTTTGAGTCCTTTCTTTAACTTACCTAGATCTTGTAAGCTTTCTGCAATATCACATCTTAGCCATATTAAACAGATAGCCCCTTTAATGATTGAAACCTGATTAACACAAGAGAAACTGGATTTAATGGTCATCAACAGACTTAGGTCATGAGGTCACTTTTTCAAAAGTGAAAGGCCTAGACAGCTTTAGTAACACGGTAAGTAAAATAAAGATTTGGTTTAAGATTAAACGGACAAAGTAAAACTGAAACTTAAATACGTTTAAATGAGACAATTGACATAACAGCACCGTCCGTCCAAACGCTATGACCAAAATAAAACTCTACTATAAAAGTGTTGTAAAATGAACAAAACGTTTTTATCAAAGGAAATATTATAAATATGTTATGTTTTTCGTTATTGGACATTTTACTTCAAATTGTGTTTATTTAAATATCTTTAATTTATTTTATTGCACTTTCTTACTTTAACTCCCTATATTTATGGAAATATTTCATTACATATTTCTATAAAGCTTTTATTTAATTTAAATCTTAACTGTCTCAAAACCCAATTCACCCTAGGGATAAATAAAGTATTCTGATTCTTGCTGCACACTTAATTAAGCACACATTGACAAGTTGTAATTATTAAAGAAAGTTTATTTTGGGAAAGAGCTCTAGTAAATGAATCACTTAATAATACAAATCAATGCCACAACTAAATATGGCCACTAATCTTACTCTGAAAAGGGAAGAAACTCTGCTAAATGTCAGTATTTAAAATACTTGCTCAGTGCTTTGATGTTCTCTGTCTACAGCGACAATTACATGCTTGGCGTGCACTGTCTACAGTACATCTGTTGCTCTACATTGTTTCCCATGTCCAGGCGTTTACACACACACAAACACACACAAACACACACAGACACACAGCAGAGACCAGTTTTAGCCTGTGACGTATGAGGCATGAAGATTGAAGGCCCAGGGGACCAACAGGAATGTCAGACTGTCAGGAAGAGGTCGATGAGAAAAACATGCAGCGGCAGCTCCAGAGGCTCAAGCAGCAACACGTTCAGTGAACGCCTATGAGAGTGCTGATAGTGGAGCCAACACTTCTTTACATAATCAGAAATCCTTATCATTTCCCGTAAAGATTTCCCCAATACTGCAGCATGGTGCTGTGTCAAGCCCCCAGTAAGTGAGCAGGGCGTGGAAATCATGGATGCATAAAGAGGACTGGATACAGCGTGAGGCAGGGCCCTGTTCAATCCTACGGGAGTTGCTCCGTGGCGCATGAAGCCAAAACGGTCTGACTCAAGAGCAAAGTACCCGTATCTGGGCCCATAGAGAGTGGGTACTTGAGTTTCCCTTAAGCACCGCCTCCAATCCACAGTGTCAAGGCTGAGTCAGACTAAGACCCCATTTACACGGGAACGTTTGCGTTCACGCACCGAATTCGTTTTCAAAAAAGTATTCCGTTCACACGCATTCGGCTCATTTAACGTGTCCGTTCACACGAGACCACTGGAAACGCTGTAGTACATATGCCGGGCCTGTAAGTGGCGCTGTACTTTCGCCACAAAAAAACACCAAAAGCAGCGAAGAATACCCCGGAGCATGGTTGCCATGGTTGCCCTTCTGTTTATGCCCCGCGGTGGATTTAGCAACATGTAGTTCATGTATTTCTCCATGTCCACTTGTTGCTGATGGTTGTGGTAGAGGAGCTGTAGATGTTGCACTAACATCTGTAGCATGGTCAGTAGCTAGTTACTGACAGTAGCTACTGACCATGCACCAGCAGTGAGCAGCAGAGGCGGGGCTATGGCTCATCGTTATCAGGAAATGATCGTATAGGGCGTACACACTGAGCCGTTTGGCCCGCCAGAGCGTTCCGTTTGCAGATCTATCCACCTTGGGACCCGTTGTCGGATACAACCGTTTGCGTTATCGTGTAAACACCGCCTAATACAGAGCGAAAATAACTCTGGATTCGGCTTTTAGCGCATTTTACAACGTTAGACCCTAATGAGCTACAAAAGTGTTAGTGCTGGGAAGCTGGTTTAGTTAAAAAAGTATTATCTGCTGATTTACAGGCATGTCTTTCCCAATGTAGTCAAATGGGAAAAAGCTATTTAAGCCGATTACGTCACAGACTGACACAGGGGGTGTAGTAACACTGTTTGGCCTACGAAAATGTACTTTCTTTAAATGCAGTCCTGCTTGTGTGAAATGTGTTAGTCATATGCCTAGTTTATTTCCCAATCCTTTGACTGATCAGAGAGGGACGTGATGTAGTGGATATAGGGCTTAATGAGAACTAACGGTTGCATGTGTAGGATTCGGAAAATAGCCGGAAGAACCGTATATTTTCAAGAGTGATTCAAATGAAGTAATTGTAACCTTATTTGACGCTTGGCAACCTTCGTATAACCAGAGCCCCTCATCCAACGCTGTATCCAGTTATCTTTATATATTCATGCCCCATATCCATAATAGGCAGCAGTGGTGCAGCCCAACACAAATCTTTCAAAGCTTTTTAAGTGTGTGACGCCTACCTCGGCTCGCTTCAGCATCTCCCACTTGTTGAGGATCTTCATGGCGAATACCTTGTCAGTGTTTCTCACTTTTACAACAGCAACCTGCAAAAAGGGAGAAAGAATTGTAGTGTTAAAAAGACATTAATCACACGAGTGACAGCAAAGCCAGACGAAGAATGTGACCCGTGTTACGAACACAGACTGACAGATTGAATATGTTACCCTTGAAAGCAACAGGAAACAGAAATGCAAGAACTGCACAATGATATTTCATGTGGAATCATGTTTCAACAAAGATTTAGTTTAGAAAACAACAAAAATAGTCTTCATAGCAAATAGAGAGGTTAAACTCTTAAGAAAGTCATAACCGCCCTTTTTTTTTTTTTTTGGTGTTGTGGTAGAACAATATAAAAACTAGAGGGGGCTCATCTCAGCATATTCACACTGGCCATTGGGCTTTAAGGCGCCAACCATGAACCACAACACCCTCAAGAACCAAGCGGAACTTAAAGAAAACAGTGACACACGGGAAGAAAGTGTTGAAAATAAAAATAAAAGATAAGGTCTAAGAGTATTTGGAGAAAGGTCAGCTGTACCCAAAAACATGGTTGAAATTGAACACGAAAACATTTTTGGATAAGGACAGGGGTTGGAACGGAGGGAAAAGAGAAGGCAGGAAGGAGAAGCTGAGGTAAAAAACAATAAGGAGAAAGCAGAGTAGGCCAAGAAGGAGAAGGGAACAGCAGCGACAGGAAGTGACCACGGATACTGAAGTGCTGACCAACAGATGCAGTCCACCTGGATCCACATCCCTCCTCTTAAACAGCTGGACACTTAAATATGATTCATGCTTCCTACATACAGAGTCTGCAGTTTGGGAAAACTGGAACAGTCCTCTAATCACTGTGTGCAATGATTTGTAAATGGGAACACATCAATAGTGGATGGACAGATTTGAAGTGATGCGGTGGTTTTGGAAGGATTATTGATGTGGCCTTAACTATCAGAATCCCAGACAAGCCATTCAATGTATGCGTTTCCATTAATATGACTATCTTATAACCTTTAAAAGGAAATCAGCTGAAATTATGTATCCTTTTTTCATTTAAGATCACGTACACATGATCTGAAAGTAGAAATTCACATATGGTTTTCATCAGACACAACACACAAACTTGTTTTTATTCAATATAGTCCACACCTATAACTTACACAATAACCGTTTCATAGTTGGAACTAGGGCAGGGCGATATGGAATAATTATTCAAATATGTTTTGACTAAATATCTCTTTTTCCATATTTTGATGAAATCATTGTCATCATCGGTGCTTTGAATAAACCAATGACTTATCGTGTAAAGGAAAATTGTATTAATGTGAAACTAAAATCCTTAAAATTAGGATAAGACAACAATTATGCAATGTTACAATGTGAAGATATCCAAAATACAAGACGATATTATCTAGTCGTGTATCATGAAATCGATCAAATATCTTCCTGATTGAAGTCAGCATCACAATGGCTTCTCGACTAAAAGCAAGGTGGTTTTCCCATCACTCTCTTGAATTTGCAGATAATAAAATCTGTGGCAAACACACATTTGTTATACCTACATGTTTTGTTCAACACGATAATGTGAACTACATGACGTCACGCCATTGTCGCTAAGCTAAAGGCGGTTAATGTTCGGCATGATGACGTTTAGTAGTCTCACTTAGTCACGTGTAAGCAACTGCTGTTTCTGTAGTGGATCAAAACGTTGTAAGGTTGTATTAACCACAGGCCTTATGACTGACAAAAACGCATTAAAACAACCTAAATGACTCAAATACTAGCTTGTTTCTTAAACTTCACAGCTTTTCTCTCTCAGAGATTGTATTTCTCATGCTCTCTTGTACTGTCCTCACGACATAACGACTGCCAACTATCCCTGAACTGATCATTGCCATGACAAACTTCCGCCGCTCCGGCTTCACATTTTGCCAAAAAAGGAGCTGCAGAAGCTGCCGTGACAAAGCAACTGTAAGCGGACAGCCAGACACATGTTCAGGCAAACTTGCTCATTTCTTTAAGCTAATTTTATTTTTTCATCCGAGTGCAATTTTCAATTTGACCTCCTTAAACAGAAAAAAGTAAAACAAGGAGAATATAAACACAAGTAAACAGATTTACACACACACGGAGGAGAAGTGAAACAAACGGGCGCCCTATGCCACAGAGGGGTCTGTAGTCTATGAACTGAGCTAGGGAATGCTGCTAATGCAATACAATGATAACATTCCTGCAGTGTTTGGATTTCCCCTAGTGATCCCTCACCAGAGAGGAGAGGAGGAACAGAAGAGGAAGAGAGGAGGACAGAGGGGGGGGGGGTACTGTTCTTGGCAATGCCTGGCTGTTTTTGTCCTTTTCACCATCTCTCTCACCATCTCTCTCTCCACCGTTTCTTCCTTCATCTTCCTATTGGCCAAGAAAATACTTAACACGGAGTTTACTTCACTATTCCCGTACATGTATTCATAGATAAAAGGATGTGTTTTCAACTTCTTACTGTTAGCTAAGAGTGTCAACCGCGTCTTCAAATGTGGTTTGGAACCTGAAGCAAACTACAGCAGTTTATATATTTGTACTACAGGCCAAGTAGTGATGACAGTTTAAAAACACACCATCTGCTATAATGGCCACAGGACTAACACACTTAACAGCCAACGCCATTTTTACATGCATTTGGATGCTGACTAGAGTTTTGTGTGATGTGTTTATTGACCCAATGCAACACGTTGTGCAGGAATGAGTCCTAACACCTGGAAATGAGTTCGCAGATTGTGGTTCAATTGAAGTCAATGTTTTTTTAAATGTATTTTTGATTAGATCCCTGAATTAAAGTATGTAGCTAATAAACGTTTAAGAGACATCCTTTTTGTCAAATGAAACAAAAAGGATGTCAGTAAATACCCCACCCGTGATTGTCTAGAGTTTTATTACATGACATAAAGACAGCATTTGCTAATAAGTGTCTAAATGAGACTTCTAAACATCATACCGTCTGCCTTTAGCTTAGCGCAGCCATTTGACTATAATTGTGTTCATTAATAGCCTATCATTAGCTTTTTAATACTGGAGATTGCATTTGAATATATTATCTAGTATCATACACATGTGTTTGATACTACTACTAATTTTCAGAGATCCAATAGAAATATCCAATTGCTTTTTGGCGTGTTAGCCTTTGCGATGCTATCTTGTGGTGTAGAAGTGACTGATGGCCCATAACCGAGGATGACATACACCTCTGGGAGTAGAACCTGTAACCCTGGCTTTGTTTGTTTCAAACACTATCCACAGAGAACCATTGGGCCCGTTTGTGTTGGTGGCGAGGGGACACTGTCGTAATGGGGGCATTCTCAGAGGCAGGAGGCCAGCACACACTGCGCCATTCATCAGAGCAGCTCCACAGCGTCACCCGCCCGCACCACTTCTCCGTCTGCTGCTGACAATGGGAGGATGAAATCAAAACATCCTGCACTCAGGATCTCTCCTCCCTTTCTGACTCAAGCATTTTTCTTGACTTTGTTTTCCTGTGTCTGCCCATCTGGGTCTCGTTCTCCGTCTGTCCCTTTTTTAACTCTTTGTTCCCATATCTTAGTCTCAGGTCTGTGTTCAGTTTTCTTCAAAACTTCCTACAGAGAAATAATACCCGGTCTTTTGAATTTTTACGACGCCTTTCCAAAATACACATTTTCCATGTTTGCTTGGTCTGACCTGAGGTTAGATGGCTGTTTTTACTATCATCTGACTTGAATATAGTAAGCCTTCCTAGCTTTATGATGCCAACGGCCATAAAGAAAAACTCGCAAATATGCTTTATGGTAGCAGTGTGTTGTCAGACTGCAGTAAAGAAACATTTGAACTAGTCCTGACTTGAGGCATTTACACACTGGGGGCATGACAAGTAAACGAAGCAAATGTAAATAGTGGCATGCGAAATTGCGACAATTGGCACATTTGCTCAATTAAAAAGGTGAATTTGAGTACTTTGAGTACTTTCTGAGTACTTTCTGAGTACTTTGAGTACTTTCTGAGTACTTTCTGAGTACTTTGAGTACTTTCTGAGTACTTTCTGAGTACTTTCTGAGTACTTTCTGAGTACCTTCTGAGTACTTTCTGAGTACCTTCTGAGTACTTTCTGAGTACTTTCTGAGTACTTTCTGGTAGGGCAGCGTTTATGTTTAGGGCTTTTACTGGAATGCAATGAATTCAAGTTGAAAGGAGTGATAGAATTTGCCGTGTCGGTTCGAACTACGCAGGCTCCATGTCATGGCGTGATGTTGTTTTGTAATAATCAACCCATAACCCTTGGCTCCGTGATTGGCTAATGTCTTTATTTGCAATGCAAACTTCACAAAGATCTACGTTGTTCTAGATTTTGTTTTGCTTTTTCAACATGTAACATTTACCTTCTGTGTGAAACTGTTCACAACGAAAACAACAGTTTGATCAAATATATCGACGTGGCAATTAATGGTAAGGTAAGAAAAAACGTATGGTGTGTTGAGACTTATCATTTAGTTTATATGTCAAATAAGCTAAATATTATATTATGAAACGTCTGCCACTAATACAAAGTTGTCCAACAATATCAACTTCTTCGACCACTGGCTCAACATGACATCTAGCTTTGGCAGCCAACTAGAGATCTTCTTATTCTGCTACTATTTCCCCATGTCTGTTTACTACACCATAACAGTAACATCGCAACACACTGAAAGGATTTTTAAATTGGAGCCATGTGACGATCCTGATGTCTCTCAAGCCCGTGCAAAAACACACACTGGCACAGCTGACTTGGCAAAAAAGGCTCTGGAATGTTACCACAAGGTAGCACAACTCATGGATCACACCACATTGCTGAGCACAGCACACACACACACGATTCACACATGCACATACCAGCACTCCCTGCAGAGGCTCATGTGAGCATGTTAGAATGTTTTGGTACTGCTGCTACATGCTGGCAGGTGTGTCCAAGTCTCCATCTAACAATCTATCACTTTCTTAATTTCTCTCCACCAATCAGAGTGGGGAAAATCACCTCAGGAATTCACTAACTTGTTTGTACAGATAGGGAATAACACTTCCAGAGATAAAATATTTGGAAGTATTGAAAAGTATACTGCCTGTCTAAGTTAAACAGCAAGACTAGCCCAGTTTAGCATTATTAGCCTAAAAACAAGCAGACTTGAACATACAAATTCCTTTTGATGTTTGACGTCTTGTTTTGGTTGGTGTCTTCTGGGTGAGTGTGGGGGCTGACCACCAGCAAAGCCTAACTGGACAAACATCATGCTAACCTCATCTGGTTGCCATGACTTTACAGAGCCTCCAGTGTTGAGAAAAAAGGAATTCTGCACAAAGTCAGCTATGTCTTTGCAGGATACTGACTTTATGTAAGAGCCTTGGCCAGTCTTGGCCCGAGGACCACAATACCTGTTCCACCGACATTCCCCAGCTTTGACATCATTACCTGAAACCAAGCGACACATGTATTTCCACCTCCCTACGGGCATGCAAAAGCTGAAACTAACAAAACTAGATGGTTTCACTGGCACTGTAATCTCTGCTCATGGGTTAAATGTGAAATAAGAATTAAAAGGTGTTTAAGCTGCAAGTAGAGTCATGCAGCAGAGCAATACTACGCAGTGCTGCTGGAATGCAGCAGAAGGTAATCTCCTATGAAATACAACAACACTGCCTTATTGCTTGGGCATTAAGGTATAAAAGAATATAGATTGTTACTGGTAGGTACTGTCCCGACATCATAGAGCAACATCTATGTCTTAAGAAAGAAGTTCCATATTTGAAAGACAAATAACACTGCACACGACAAATCCATACAAAGATATTCCATTAACACCTGCTACTCGTTCAAAAGAGAAAAAAGGGGAAACCCTAATTGCAGGTTCTCACCATGTATGGTAAAGGATTGCTGCATGTTTAGTGTAAAAACCAGAAGGTATATTACCTCTCCGAAGGCTCCTCGTCCAATCACCTTGAGGATCTCAAAGTCTTCCTTGTGCAGGCGCATCTGCTTCACTTTGGAAGTGAAGGGTTTAGCTGTAGAGAGAAGGAACATATTAGGTTCAATATAACGGGCCAAAAGTGATGCATAGAGGACCTTAAGCAAAGGAGACGCATATATAGTCAGATCACAGAACAACATAGGGAATGTAGGGCAGAGGAAGCTATGATTGATAGGGAAATATCAAAAACAACCAGGATCGGAAGGATAATAGTGTATGTAATCAAAAAGATCATCTGATGCTCTGTTTTAGCAGTATTTTACATAGGAGGTATTTATTCTGCTAACACCTTCTAGATTGTTTATAAGGAACATGAAATTAGACTTGAGATAAAACAATTAAAAATCTATTGATGAGCAGAGAACATGCTTCAGGATTCTCCGCTCAGCAGGTGATTTACTGATCACTTTATACGGTTAGCAGTTCATCACAGCAGAACATCACAATAAAACCTTGAGTGTTTACGAGGGGAAAAAGGGGCAAACAAGCTAAATCTATCACTTTCAGTAGGAGCAGGAAGTCAGTGCTTTTCATGTTTGCTAACCAATTCCATGAGTTTTGATTGACAATTCTGTTGCCCTGACCTGATGGAAGCTCTGGGCATTTTCTAACAGTAACCCAAAAGGAAGGGGAAATACCCTTGTCCTATGACCTGGGCTTATGGAAAAGTCCTTGTGCTAGTCATGTGGTAACCCACAATATTCCCATAGCACGTGAAAGGCTGCCATGCCATTTTAAATGTTCTTTATTAAATAGTTAGAGACCACCTGGACCACTCCGAGCACATGACCCGGACACAGAGCGGCTGGGTGATAAAGCTAGCTATTGTTACGTCTGCAGTTATGGTTCCTGGTGGAAAGCGGACTCGAACAGAGATTCCATCTATGGCTGACTAAGTCGGCATTTCCCTCAGCTATTGAAACACTTCCTGGTTAACTGATCCCAGCGTGCCATGGCAAACCTAAATTGGCAGCAGGGTCAGCGTACTGGTGACATTGACACTGATTTTCTGATAACAGACCTTTTTATTTTGAAAAGTATACTGCCCGTCTACATGAAGCAGCAAGTGTAGCATTATTAGCAAATTCATTAAGCGGTTTGTTAACTCAAGACAACATCTCCATCATCCACTATACACAACCTTTTTTGTTTTGGTTGATGTTTCCTGGGTGTGTGTGGGAGCTGACCACCAGCAAAGCTAACTGGACAAATATCATGCTAAACTCATCTGGTTGCCGTGACATTACAGAGCCTCCAGTGTTGGGAAAAAGGAAATGATCCCATTGTGAAACAGGGTAATGCCTGCTGAAATAAAACAGTTCACTCGTAGCTCAACCATTTGTACTTTCACACTCCCTCCTGACTCCGCTGACAGCTATGACCACAGTGCAGTGGGGAAGCAGGGGCCAGTGCAGTGTGCCGTGTCCTGGTACACATTAATACAGACCATTTACACGCAGAAATACACAAGAAACAAGGCTAATGCACTGAGTAAGGCTGGGGAACTCTTATTTCATGAATGTTCCTGTAGACCAGTTACAGAGCCAGTAGACCAGAAACATCACTATTCAGTGATTTAGTGTCAGGGAAGTGACCAGGACTACACCACAAATCTGTCAAAACAAACCAGGCTGACAGTAGAGTAGGGCAGTGAGGACATCTTTTTGTAGGCCAACCCTGAAGTTAGAATTGCAAGTGCTCTGTCGACAAAAAATAAAGAGATTTTTCCATAGGATTTTTATAATACTTGGTAAAAAGGTAACACTACGCTATACAATCTATATCTGCGCATCACTACCGTTAAGCTAAAGGTGGCTAATATTGGCCGTGATGACTTTAAGTAGTCTCATCTATTCAGTTGTAAGCAATCGCAATTGTTATGACACATAGAAGCCTTGGACATTTATGAGTGGGGTAGACTTTGAGACAAAAAACCGAAGTGGTAACATGCTAACTCATTTCTGGGTTTTAGGACTCATCCCTTAATCACTTCCTTTGACAAACCACTTCATTGTTTCTTTCTTTTTCAGAACGCTTCCCTTTTTCATACGCAATCTAATAGTGCAGTAGAGTCTAATAGAGAGAAGGCTGAGAAGTCAGTGAAGACTACGGTGCACTGGCTGGCAAAGTACAGTGTCAACTAAAAATGCTCAACTCAAGATATTAAGATGTTGTTACAGTAAGTGCATGTCATATACAAAAAAAAAATGTTTCGTCCCCTATAAGGACAATTCAGTATTGTCTGATTTTATGATCACGTAATGTCTTTGATTCATGACAAAGGGTCCAATGCCAAAGTGGCTGGCAGACAGACTTCTAAGAAACTAGTGAAATTGACCACCAGTTGGCTCAGTGCAGGTTCTCCTGCTGAGCCAATTTGTTTTATCCGAGTATCTGCCAGATCTCTGTATGTTAGCCAGCATTTCTAACCTGACATGTCATGTGTGCCAGGGTACAGGGTAACAACAACTGAAATCCCTTTGGACTCATATTCATTAATGTATCAAAGCCGCGCAATTATGCTTCAGCAGCAAGCGATTAGGTGAGGGTTTAAATATGGCCATCTATGAACATTAAAGAACAATTTAACTTGTCAGGTTAGCTTAAGAGGGAAGAGAAAAAGGGAAAATACTTGTTTTTAATATAATAATGATGATTTATGATGGTTGTCACATGAAGTATATCTTTGAATTCTCATAAAAAGTCATCATAACCCTCAGCGTCATATGCCTTGTGTTTTTTGGGGGGGTTTGAAATGCAACAAAGGGTGGAATAATGTCCAGGGCTGTCATATGGGATGCCCTCTTACCACTGTGCTACTAAGGAGCTCAACTTGCCTGGGGTTTAAGTAAATGCATAAGAGGAGAACATTCAATCAAGTTGTATTTTAAGTGCTGAATTGCTCACAATTTTGTCATGATTGCTTTTTGTATACCCTTAACGCAGTAAAATGTTTCGGTATGATGACAATGTTATGGTAAGGTATCTTTCTTTAACAGCCATATGAACACAGAATCTTAAACTTGCAAAGGGCATTCATTGGCATAAAGTGTTAGATCACATTTGTAGACATATCTTTGGACACTGGATTGTTCCCTGGTAGTTCTGAACTAGACAGCAAGGGGATAAAAAACAAGTATCTGGATCCCTTCTAGTTGAACTGTTACTCATACAGGTAAGAGTAACATGGTTGCAGGTCAAAGAGTAGGGGGATCAGAGCCAGGCTAGCTGAGCGGGAGAAAACACTGATTAGTAGCTGCATGCTGACTCAGGAGCTCCACTAAACCAGCCACATGAGAAATGTCTTTCATCTGGGAGCCAGGAGCCAGCAGGCCCTGTCCACAACAAAGCACAAACTTAGACAGATATGTGCACACATAGTTGGATCTAGATCCTCGCATCTACATCTGACACATCATTGGTAACTATGTTTTCCTCTGGCCTTAGCAGAAATACCACAGACTATATAAATTGCTTATCTGGAGAGGGAAAATCATTGGCTGTAAGACAGACAGCAGGTGGGTTATTGAAGCACACAGCAGCCATTAACCTAGCCATTAGCCTGTCATTTATAAATGGAATTCAATGAGTGTTTTGGAAATACTAGGCCCTGAGTCAGAATGCCGGGTCAACACATAACAAGAACGGCCTGTACTCGCTAAGCTCAGCCACATTTACCTAAGGATCAATGTGTGGAACTTTGATCCTTAAGTAAATGCAGCGCCGAAGGATTCATAACTTCCCTTTTTTACAACAGAGAAGAAGAAATACCGTACAGCAGGGGTGCCCAACCAGTCGATCGCGATCGACCGGAGATTCCCAGTCGATCGCGAGATGTGTCTAAAAATAGAACAACAATATTCTGTTTTATCGTTAATGTCCTATAACATAATCTTCCCATGCCAGAATAATGCACTTGAACGCATCAAAGCTTTGTGATTGGCCGGCTAGACCCCATGTGTCGGGGCGTGGCTGGTGGGCAGTGGGCAGTGCACTATTTCGCTGACGTTGTCCAACTTGTCCGTGTCAACGGGAGTGACAGTCCGCACACATACAAGACCGCAATTATGGCAGAAGCAAAAAAGCCCAAAATATATAATTTCCACTCCGAGTGGGAGGATGATTATTTTTGTATCTATTCCAATTCAAAGTCCATCTGTCTCATCTGCAATGCGAGCGTGGCTTTATCGAAGAAGGGTAATTTAGGAGCGGCATTTCAAAACAGTGCACAAACGCTACGAGACGGAATTCCCTCCTAATTCTGCCCTACGCTCCAAAAGGGGAGGGGCCTGAAAGGACAGCTAAATGCACAGCAGTCCATTTTCACCAGGCCCAACAACAAGAGCAAGGCTGCTACCAGAGCATCTTATACACGATAAGTCACGTTCTTGAGAAACCCAAGTCTTTCAAAGACGGCGAAGTTGTGTTAGAAGCTTTCCTGGAGGCTGCCCACGCTCTTTGTGGGGACAGTAAAAATAACAGAAGCATTTCAACAGGTTTTTGATATAATAAAAACTCAAGTTAGATACCGTTATTAATCAGCTGTAAGTTTTTGTTTGTTTGAACTTATTCATTATAATTATTGTACAAAATGGTATACGAATGCAAACATTCAGATCTGTTCTGTTTAAATTGATTATAGTCTATTATCAATTCAGGTTAAGAAACTAGTGTTGCTTGCATCCTATTTTAAAGGCATTTCTTTGTATAATCTACTAAAATGCAACAAAAAAATGGTTCGATTCTATTAATGTTGTCTTTTTTATTGCACTTTGGCAGCAGATTCCTGTGTAGCTTCAGATCTGAGTTGTCTTATTAGTAAGCGTAATTTATACTTTTGTAGCAACACTATTTTTATATAATGGCAAAGAATGGGTTCAGAGTCTTTTCTTTTTTTCTCTGTGTCATATGTGGCAGCACTGTTCAATGTTTCTTGAAAACATTACCCACTGTAGTGACGTGTGAATAAACTCCAACTCTGTATCAACAACACTGTTGTGTAACTTCAGTTAAATACTTGTATGTGTGTAGATT